ACTATGTGCCTTTACTCACTATATGTATGATCGCACCTCCCTTATATCCTCCTTATTTCTTTGACATGAAACCGTGAGCTATAACATAATGGAATAGTCTATAATCTATGATTTCCCTAACTTAAACACTTATGAAGGGATTACTCAGCCAAGGCTCACCTAACTCACTTGTGAAACACAGTTTTCCCCATTTCTCATACTATAGGGTGCCATATTTCTCTAAACTAGCTTCTTCATTGAACAATTGGATAGCTAGTTAGGTTCGAGTCTCTCGTTGAACTAGTGGGACAATAAATGTACAATCAATCTAGGCAAGCCATTCCTCGGATGGGAGCCATATCATGTGAATTTTATTTTTTACTCCTCTTCTTAGGTGAACTCCCGCCTTTTAAGATCATACAATATATATATTATGCAATATTTTGAGGCATGCAATTTCTCATTGCCATGCATACCCAAACACATCATCGTACACATCCCATACATAAAAATCACATATAATTCAATCATTGAACCCTTCATATTCATCGAACTCCTCAATTTAACTTTATATTGAACTCTATAATACATAAATCATTGAACTTCTTAATTTTACAATCGATGTACTATGCCCATTCACAATTGTTGTACTCTAAAATTTCAATCAATCATGGAACTCCATTATCTCACACATCATGGAAGTCCTCATAAACACATTTTCATTGAATTTTACAATTTTGATTTCTTTGTACCATATATATCTCAAATCCTTGAACTCACATTGCTCAAATTTATTAAACCTCATATTTTCATAATCATCAGACTAAATTAAATAACTACTTTATAGTTGGCTTTTCAAACAAAACAAGCCACATTTTCATTTCAATCAATCTTGCATAATTCGATCATCAAATATTATTTAACAAACTAATTAACACATAAAAGTATAGAATAGAATTCTCCTGGTTGCCTCAAATCTTTGAGAGGTTAAAAATTTTACTCTTTAAATACTCACTTTCAAAGCATCCAAAAAGCTAGAATGGTGCCAATAACAATCACTCTACAAGAATTTATAATACAAATCATCAATATCCATATTTGGGCTAATTTTTACTAATACTTCAACACTTTTTAATGCTCAAGATTCATTCTTGACTCATATAAAAGCACCTATAAGATTTCTTAGCTTTCTTAAACTCTCATTAACATCATTGAGCTCTTTAATGATTATTAATGGGACCACATTATTCCTAGCCAACATATTTTTGAGGATTTTTAGACATTTAATGTCCTTCAACCACTAATCACCAAATAATCATAAATATCAAATTTACTTAGCTCAATCTACTCCCCTTAATTCTATTTAAATCAATGAATTTAGACTCATAGCACCTATAGATTAACAATTACCATTGTCAATCAAACCCTAACTTTTACCATCAAGAAAGTAAAAAAAAAAAAGAGAAAGGTTTAAGTGTAAGAAGCTTTCTTTTAATGTTCAAGAGTTTAAAATATTTTTAATACTCAGATTCTTCAAGCCCTAATACTACTCTTTTGCCTCTCCCTCATTTCTTCATTGTTCTCTTCTCTATTGCATTAATTTTACAACCTTATTACAACAGAAAAGTAACTATGCATCGCCGTGCACAGAGAGCCTCTCCCTAGGCATGTTGCCATACATGCACCATGGCGGCTTATCCATAAGTCGTGATGTGTGACACATAATCTTCCTTTTTAGAATTTCTTTCTCTTTCATTTTTGGATGACTTGATTCTCCTTCGGACCTACGTTTAGCGTTGGAATTGAAACCAAACACGCCCATTGAACCCCTTTGGCTACACATCTTACTAATACACTTAATTAATTTAATTATGCTTATTTAATCTAGTTTGAAATTGAGGATGTTACATGAGCAACAGATGGACTAGAAATAAATTTTTCTATATTATTGAGAGAGTGAAGACTAGACTTACAAGCTAGAAGTCAAATTGTCTTTCTACAACAAGAAGAGTTATTCTGAGTAAATCAGTGTTAAGTACAATCCGTTTGTACCCCATACAAGTTGCTAAAGTTCATGTCTTTATCTGTATTGAGATAGAACAGAGGGATTTCACTTGGGAAAGCTCACATTCTAAGGGTTTTCATCTTATTAGCTGTAAAAAGGTATCACTTCTTAAAACCTATGGAGGCCTTGGATTTAAAAAAATCTCCTCAATTAACAAAGCTTGCTTAGAATCTTATTTTTGGTAATAAAAAATTTTGGGTTGAGCTACTGTAAAAAAAATATATGCTTAGATCCAAGGAGAATCTGTTGAATTCTACTAAAATAGATTCTCCTTTATGGAAGTTTATTTACCAACATAAAGATTTTTGTTGAGGGGGGAACTAGATGACAACTCAGGGATAGAGAATCTATTTTTTTCTTTGAGGACCAGTGGCTGTTTCTAGATAAAAAAAAATCAAAGACATGGTGACAAACTACTTTCTATAGAGGAATCAAAGTCTAAGGTTATAGAATGGACACATTTTTGCACTTGTTATTTTATTTCCCCATCTCTCATTGTGTCTAATAAGTTCTTTCTAAACTTATCTCTACTATGACCCCTTCATAGTTTGCTGGTAATGATATTATGCTTTAGAATGGCACCCCTAATAGGTCTTTCACTTTGAAAAGTGCTTATTTTATGATTCAAAAACCACCTCCAGATTTGTTTGATCCAATTTTTAAATTAATCTAGAAATGGAAAGGGGTCTAGAGAATCCGTCTTTTCATTTGGCTTTCTTATCATAATAGACTTCTAACAAATAAGTAGCCCTCTTCATAGATCGGGTGTTCTCCTTTGTGTTCTTGATGTGAGACAGCAAAAGATGTTTTGCATATTTTAAGAGACTATACTTATGCCCGTTAGGTATGGAGTAAGTTGTTACCCTATAATCAATATGTTAATTTCTTTGCTTTGGAGCTAAAAGACTGGATGATTAAAAATCTTAAAACTTCATCCTCAAGTGTCTCATATAATTGGAACTTAATCTAGGTGTTACAATTTGGAAACTTTAAAAGTGAAGAAATGGCTTTACTTTTCAACATGATTTCCAAAAACTAAATGATCCTACTACAAAAATACTTTTGACCTGAAAATCATTTATGATGAATGAAAATTCTTTGTCCCATTTTCATGGAGCTGCCAACTCATTTGATAGATGGTACCATCTTCCGTATGGGTGGTTAAAATTTAATATTGATGGTGCAGTCTCTATTACCTCAAATAAAGCTAGATGTGGAGGTGTACTCAGGAATAGCGATGGTATTTGGATTGTGGGTTTTTCTGCATTGATTGGTCAATGTAGTCCTTTTGAAGCTGAAGAATAGGCTGTTTTTAAGAGCCTTCTTCTGGCATGGAATATGGGCTTCGAGAAAATTATTATTGAATTTGATTCAAAAAACTTGGTGGATTTAATTAATAATTATACTGAACGACCATATAGTGGAAGCCTTGTCTTCTTGGAGATGCAGTATTTACATAAATATAGCTGGAGTGTTTGTGTTAATTTTGTTCCTTATGAGCAAAATATGGCAGCAAACTCCCTAGCAAAATTTGGCATTTCCAATTTTGCTCTTTTTGATTCAACTCCCCCATTTGCAAAAGGATTGTGTGGGATCAAAATCCCTTGAATTTTCTTAGCTTCTTTGTTTTGTGGGCTCTGATCCTCTTTTCTATTTAAAAAAAAAAATTGCAGGCTTAATTTCACTTATAATATCAAGTCATTAATACCAACCCTTTTAATTAAAATAAAAAAGACGCGTGCTGAAGAAATGTGAGAATAAAAAGCTGTTCATGTTAAAATAGATTGCGGATAAAAAGCATTTAAAAAAAATAAAAATAAAATGATGTTTTAGTTTTCAAATATTTTGTGATGGTATAATAGTTAACTTATAGGTCTTTCAGTCGAATTATAATTGCTATGGTATTTCACAATAAAACATTACCTAACTGCCCTTCAGTGGAATTCTCCGCGACATCAACCATGAACCATGTCTCATGTTTTCGTATCGATTAATTATTGGATTTATCCTTCATGTAATATCTGGAGCAGGGACCATGCATTCACTATTCCTATTCCGTCCTTCCTGACTCGTAAGCGGGGAAATGGTGATGTAATTCTGGGCTGCCCCTAACATTAGTAAGTTGGGCATTGGGCCCAGAAAGTGAGAAAACCTACGTAAAACAATGCTTATTGAACAACCATAATATTTGTGGATGCAAACTCATGTCCACGAAAGCCCTTTATAACATCTAAACTAAATACAGGCAAATATGGGTAATGGGCCCTTGTATATTAAAGGCCGAACACACTAAGATGATGTAATTCCTATATGACTTAATATTGGGCCAACATTACCCTAACTCTCCATTACAGGTACCCCATCATAACTACATGATATGATGTAATCCTAATTATTACAAATTGATTCAAGTGTCTGTACGCGGACGAGTTAATTGGTAGCTCTTTTCATTTTCTTGACTTTCTCATCACATGTCTAATTTCCCCACAATTTTGATTAGTTGGTCCCATGCACCAGGACTTGAATCATTCCTGTATCCTTTTCTCAATGCATCTCTTTGTACTCAGTGTTATTTGCCTATTTAATCGTACATTTGATTCAATGAACCGTATATTTATTATCATTAATTATAAATACTTTTGAAAGCAGGATCATTATACTTCTTCATGGTAGATATTAAATGAACGATATCTTTAATTTAATGTTACAATTAGCAATTTTATGCCGTTAAATTAAATCAAATAAATAATAAAATTAATGAATGAGATTGAATGCGCACATAGGTACATTAATATTTAAGAGATAGCATGTAGATGAGCTAAATGATCCAATGCCCTCCACTTGCTGGCTCAGCCATCCAGCAAGATATTATTAACTCGTTGGCTCGTAAAATGAAAGACTCCAGCCACTTACTTCTTGTGTGTTTTGTACGTGCATGCATGCATGAGATACTGGGTGCCAAATTAGATCTGTTTTTCATTCCATCAGAGATCCATGCTTGCCCTAGCTAGGCTGGAGCGTTTAATTTAAAAAAATAACAAGAAATATATAAACCAAATCAGTCCAAACTAGCAGAGTTCCCATCATCACCTCTCTGGAAGGTGAGTGCGATACAACGAAACAAATGATATGATTAACTAGGGTCCACTAAAAAGACTCGGATAAGGGATAACGGCAAGCATGATTGGCCAAACACTGGCCTAGCGATGATTGTTAAAAACCCTGCAATTCTTCCTGATCTCTCCATGCTTTCCAACCAGAACATCAAGGCTTCCCAGCTTTATCATAGCATTTGCGAAGCATCGCTTGAAGCTCTCGCCATTCGCAGCAAAACCAGCAACAATGCCTCTGGACGACGCATCAACAGCCAATTGCTGGTCTATATGGAGCACCCCTCTCCTCTTCCTGATCTGCCTGTAATACTCGTTGTCAAATACAAACGACGTGTTCTGGTCCAACACAATCTGAGGGTCGTGCCTCGCCGGCCGTCTCGCCGACCCACACTTCCGCACCAGCTTCGCATCCAGAGCAGGGTCCATAGTAGGATCACGCCTTCCGAAACTGGACAGCCTCCCCCGAACCAAGCTGCAGTGAGTGAAGCCCACCGTGTGTGCTCCGAGAAGAGCCACCATCTCCTTCAATGAAAACCCTTTTGCTCTGAAGGATTTAAATGCTTGAGACACCGAGAAGGATGATTTTGGAACATTCACTTCCTTGGGATTAGAAACTAGACCATCTCGCCGCCCTGTGGGAACGTTGTATCTGTGTCCTCCCGCAAGAGCCACCGAGTCCCTGGTGGCAAGTGTTAGGATATCTGCGCACGAAACTGTGGAAGGACAGGCTTTTTCCAAGGCGGTCTTGATTTCGTCGATCAGCTCAAAGCTATCAAGGTTTATGTTGGGCGGTGCTTGTTTTTCCGATGTGTTTCCCTTCCACGGATCTATCAGTATGGAGCCGTCGCATCCCTGGGCAGCGACAACATTAATATATAGCATATACGTAACAGCAAGAAAAACAAAGAACGACTTAACATATAACATATACGTAACACTAAGAAAAACAAAGATCGAGTCGGTTGGACGGGGTAGTTGTACTGTCTTACTCTAACAAAGCAGTCGTGGAAGTGCATTTGAAGCAAGTCGGCGGTGATGAATCTGTGGTGTTTGAAGCGCCTCTGCACAATTCGACGGACGATAGTCTCGGCGGATGGGCAGCTTCTGCGATAGAATCCAACCCTAAGGTGGGCAGATGCAAAGGGAAGAGTAAAAAAGAAGAGAAGGGTGATATTGGAGATCTTCATTTTTGGCTTCGTGAATGCTTGTGTGTTGTGGAAGGGAAAGGAAGGCGCGTACATATGGAGAGCGAGAAGGTCTCCCCCGCTCTCACTGTAATGATGAGGAGCGACAAGTTAGTCAAATGTGTAATAATAATTGAATTAAAGTACTTAACATATAAAAGAAAAGGAAGGCATGCATGGTTTTATACAAGAATGCATTTTTAATTAATAGAAACAACTTAGAGGGAATGTGTAGCATTTTTTTTTTTTTGGTGTCCCCGAAGTTTGAAAGAAACTTGGAGGATCAATAGTTAAACAGAAATAAAAAAGAGTAAAAGCGAAGACAAAACTGAGAGGAGCAGAATTCACGTGGAAGATAGGTGGGACAAGGGGACCACATTGATGCGCACGTTTTTTTTAAATGGTCTCTATTATTGATTTAAAATTATTTTTAAATATTTTTATATTTTATTTATCAAAATAAAAATTATAAAAAATTATAATATTAAAGATGAATTATCCAGACTATATAAAGATGGTCAATTAATTAAAATTATAAAATTTTAATATTAAATTGAACATTTTAAATTATATCTTCCCTGTTCATAATATTTTTATATAGTTAATTTATAAAAATTATTAAAAATAATATCAAAATTGGTCATCCAAATTAAATATGTACTTTTCATATTGGTGATAAAAAATTTATTAAGGATTTATATATATTTTTTACATATTTTTATTTTAATAAATATAAAATAATAGTAAAAGCTTAAAGTTAGATTATCCAGATCTTATTAGGAGTAATGAGTATCGTAATATTTATCATCTAATAACATAAAATATAGTTTATATTTAATATAATACTTTTTTATAAATTTTTTATAAATATAATATTAAAATATTTTAAAAATAATTTTAGATCAACGGCAGAGATCATTTGAAGAAAAATAAAGATTCAAATCACCCCGATGCTTATCAAACCTGAAGAGCAGCAAATGTGTTTTCGTGTGACAAGCTCTAATGTTTTACTAGATTAGAATTATTTTAAGGAGAAATGGCACAAAAATACCTTTAAATAGATAAATGACAAAAAAAATTGTGAAGTGAAATAATTATTTTAAAGTTTAAAGGGATTTCTTTGTCGTTATCTCTTTTTGCCAAATGGCTATATAACTCTATGCATGAAAGATATAACTGTTAGAATATTATTTATGAATTAGCATTAATTAATAAGCCCAATAAATTGGTCTTTATGATCTTGTGTAAACCGTGATAGGTGAACCACATAGGTGAGCCCAATGGACAGAGGCCTAACCCACAACCCAGTAACCGTCAGTTATTCTTTATCTCTTAACTAACTGAGTCAGAGATAATAAGATATATAATTATTTATTATTTAATAAGGCGGTTACCGATTTGATCTATATAAGACGATTAGTTGATAACTGCAGATACACGGATCATTTCTTTTACTTCCATTATCTCTGAACTCTCTGAAAGCTCTGGGAACCTGTGAGTTGTGTACCTGCCTATACTCAAGGTAATCGAGATTTCTCTAGCACTCATGGATTCTTCAGGTACGCATGAATTACTTTATTCTATCATATTTTATTACACATATGAATTGAGATATTCAGATTCAACACAACAACAAAAAATTTCCTTGGAATTTCATTTCATGGTACCTTTCTGTTATTTGTTTGTTTAGGAGGTATTTTTGTGCGATTCTTTCTTATTTTAATTCTCCCTCCCTTGCTTAATATAAGTTATTCTTAAATAATTTAAAGATACGGAGAAAAAGTTCGCCTCTTGAGAACATTTTCTCCTTTCAATTATGTTTAAATTTTCAACAAACATAGTCAATCTTTGTATTTGTAAAGTCATAATCTGCGATAGTCCATATATAAATGCTAGTATTAACACACAAATGACTAGTTGCTTTTCTAATTTCACAAAATGACTTATATTTTAAACACAAAATATGACCTATATTTCCAAATAGATGACATATATATATATATATAACTATTTATATTACACCCAAAAAATATATATAACTATTTATAAAACAGTGTTTAGAGTACACGTGGGATATGAAAATTAATGAAAAAATACTTTATTATTAAAAATGCATATTCACCAGAAAACCCAAAAAAAAGTGTGATGGAATACAACCGTTATTATTAAAAGTTATTAAATATTTTCAATTATAATAATATTTGAAAAAAATACTCTGTTATTATAAGGTGACACTTTCATTCATTCATTCATTAATATATTTATTATGAAAATTATTAAATAAAGAGAATGCGAGTATTGTTAAATTGTTTAATAATAATTAATTTGGGCCTCATATTAGAAAGAAAACTCGGACACCCTCCTTGCCTCACCATCTGAATTCTGATTATCTGATGCAACTTAACTTACACGTCATATGTGCATCTGCATCGATCTGTGTTCAGCAACCTCGCATTTCATAATCTAGAACGCCTTAATTCAAGGGAGGATTTGAATAAAGCTTTGACCAAATTTATTTACAGTTCTTATATTTTTAAAATTTTATTGTCGGAGGTATTAATTTAATATTAAACTTAAAAAAAAAACAAAACTGTCCCTCCTTTAATTTAATATAAAAAATTTCTTACTTCACTTGATAATTATTATACTTCACATGTTTATTTATTTATAAAATATTATTAATTATTCTACTTAATTTGTTTTCATTTTATGTGTTTAAATTATCTTAAAACAGCTTGTTGATTCATATATTATATGTTATTTATTTATTTATAAATTATTATTAATTGTCATATTTCACTTATTCACTGCCTTACTTAACTTGTTCATTGCGAAACTTTTACTTAATTTTATTTTAAAAAAATAAAAAAATAAAGTAGAGTAATTAATAATATCCGATAAGTAAATGAATAAGTGAAATATGATAGTCTCGATATTAATTTAAATGAAGAGTAATTTTATCATTTTTTACAGAAAATTAATATTAAATCAATGTCTCTAGACTGTAGTGAAATTTTTTAAAATTTAAAGTTTTAAATATAATTAAGTATGGCCAATGAATTTTTATTGAAATTCTCCCTTGATTTAAACCAGAAGAAAATGTTGACAAAAAAACATAAAAAATTTCTAGAGAATTAAAGGAGAAAAGGAGACAATAAAAAATTACACGTTTTCCACGCCCCTGTTAGTGGCAGACAGCTTTTTTCATCTATATTCTTTGAAGTTCAGACAAACAACACCCTGTGTGCTGGCCTGGTTGAGTAATAATACATTTAATTCAATTAGTAGGGATCAATGTATTGTATTCCAATGAACTCGAATATGGTATATATGCATATATTTTGTTAAAACGGAAGAAAAAAGTGAACACATTCTTGGATGAATGGGATTTAACATTACAGCATCATAATCCTTCACATTAAAGATTTACAACAATTCATCCCATAATTAAAGGATGAAATACAAACACTAAATTATGGAAATTAATCTTGAAAGATTATATTCAATTTCCCTAATTCAAATTAATGATGTGACTCCTTTATATAGATTTAAGGATACCAACTAATTAGGTAATCAAACACTAATCACACCCTAACATTATAACATCCTCTCAAATTGACACCACTTTAATTTCAGGTGCTTAACTTGTCAGCACAATATAACAAGAAGGGAACAACAATTTGTTGAAATATTAACCACAACAAAACATAATTAATTGATCAATTAGACCAATCATATTAAATTATTATAGGATGAAAACAATTGTTCCAAGAGCTTTGTCAGCTTCATCAGGGAAAGTATTCTTCTGCGCATCCTACGTCCCCTTCTCCACAATAACTTAGAGAACTTTCTTCTCATGGGCATCCTTCTCTCCCTTCAATGACCATGGACCAGCTCCAAAAATCAGTCTGTTAGCTTCGTCATTGTTCTTCATTGTTTCAAGACAGGGCGTGACATAGCATAGAGGAGTAATGGGATTCAAAGAGATCCTTTAAGAGGTGAGCAAGATTTGGACATTACCAACTTGGTGGCTTGAAAAGAACGACGGTACCCAGATGAAGAATCATGTTCCAAGAATCAAATCTGGCTCCTCTGTATGCGGTAATGCCGACGCCATCGAGGAATGAATACGTCAGGCAAGCCGTTCTGTCGCCTCCAGTTTTCTTGATTCAGTTCATCGATCCAACACCTCCTCCACCAATCAGGTATCTTCGAAGACCCATGGAACCCTACACAGAAGCAGAAGCCAAAGATCGATGACGGCAGGATCGGAGATGCAAGAATGCAACGACGAAAATCATCAACGCCGTCACTAGGTTCGGCGAGAGGGAAAAACACGATCGCTGGAGTTTGACACTGTGAACGACGTCTTCTCGGTCCTCGCGACTGCGTTGAGAGAGGAATCGCCGGAGGCGGAATTGTTGGACATGATTGGAGGTAGAGGAAGACTGGCTCTGTACGGATTCAAGAAAGGCACCGTTACTCCATGAACGCTTCTTGCGTCGAGAACCAGAAGTCCAGAAACGCAGCGTTCGGCGTATATCGGACGACCAGACTTCACCTGCTCAAATTTTGAAGGTTTGTGTATACGGTTTCTTAGTTACCCGATCCAGTTGTTGCAAACTGAGTCTGTGGCCTTGAAAAAAAAAAAAAAAAACGCCTGGACAAGCTACTCAGCACAATTTAAAACCAAACCCTGATAACATGTTGAAACTCGATAATGGGGGAAAAAACACGTTCTTGATGATTGAGATTGAATATTACTACGTCATAATCCTTCATTTAAATAATTTATAATTCATATCCTCTAGCTAAGGGGTAAAATACAAACCCTAAATTATTGGGGTTAATCTCGATGTCGTTCCTTTATGTAAATTTACGAACACTGACTAACTTGGTGATTAAACGCTAATCACAATCTAATGTTCCAACATGTTTAATAACAAGTAGATAATCATTCCCGTGAGCTAGGAAGTGCTCAAGCGCATGAGATTTGTACAACAAATGAATTGAAACCCAAAAGGGGCCTTTTCTCAGTAACTTGATAATTTCAGGTGTCCTTGAATAACTGGGACGCTTCCGGACCAAGACGGAGGCAACTTCGCCATGCTAAAGATTGGTGATAAAACTACATTATTAAAACTTTAGTTATGTTCTTCCGGGCTTTTATTTGCCAAAACACACAAATATCCTAACAGTAAACTCTCGGTTGGCCATCCAGTAAAGAAATTTAACCGTAAATAAGAACAACAATAATGACGAACGACCTCGTTGCTTGTGCCAGGCAATGCATTATTATGAACCAAATGGTAGTATCCTTGGCGGCCGCTAATAGTAGGCTGGGCCAACATTATCCTTTACTCCAATACAAGAGCACCCAGTCATAACTTTAATATATCGATCTAATAATCCTAATTATCACGATTCGATTCGAGTGCCAGTTCGAAGGAGTTCCTAGTTTCATGACTTTCTGCATATATCACATTACAAATTTCTCTACAATTTTGATGACAGTTCTGCCGCAGCTGGCTCGGCCGGAGAACCAACCTTCAAGCTATTTCATTCTGGCATGTAAATTGAAAGATTTTCATTTTCCAGGTCAACGCAAAGGATCACATGTGTTTGTGCGTGTGCATGCATGTATAAACGAAATCATTATTCCAATATCCGCGCATTAGATTACTGCAATGAAAAAAGGGGCAAGAAATATAATTAAATTCCAAATCATTATTCCAGAAGAAATGACTCTCACAAGTCACGCCACCATTTTTTCTAAAGGCACGTGAGCACAACACAAGGAGGCAAACGACTGGTTAGGGTCCGCTAAAGACCGGATAACTAACGGCCTCCCTTAATTAATTAATTAGCTAGAGATCAATCAATGATTATTAAAAACCCTGCAATTCTTCCTGATCTCCCCGGCGTTTCCAACCAAAACATCGAGGCTTCCCATCTTGATCATAGCACTCGCGAAGCTCCGCTTGAAGCTCTCACCGTTGGCGGCAAAACCAGCAACAGTGCGTCTGGTCGACGCATCCAGAGCCAATTGCTGGTCAATGTGAAGCACCCCTCTCTTGTTCCCTATCTGCCTGTAGTACTCGTTATCAAATACAAACGACGTGTTCTGGTCCAACACAATCTGGGGATCGTTCCTCGCCGGCCTCCTTGTTGACCCGCAAATTCTCCCCAGCTTAGCATCCAGAGCAAGGTCCATAGTAGGATCACGGTTTCCGAAACTGGACAGCCTGGATTGAACCAAACTGCAGTGAGTGAAGCCCACCGTGTGTGCTCCCAGCAGAGTCACCATCTCCTGCAACAAAAACCCCTTTTCCCTGAATGATTGGAATGCATGAGTCACCGAAAGCGATGGCCCGGGCAGGTTCACTTCGTTAGGATTAGACACCAAGCCGTCCCGCCGCCCGGTGGGGACATTGTATCTGGGTCCTCCCGCCAGAGCCACCGCGTCCCTCGTGGCCAGTGTTACGATATCTGCGCACGAAACTGTGGAAGGACAGGCTTTTTCTAACACGCTCTTTATCTCGTCGATGAGGTCAAAGCCGTCGAGGTTGACGTTGGGTCCTGCCTGTTTCTCCGATCCCCTTCCCCTGCTTGGATCTATCAGTAAGGAGCCGTCGCATCCCTGGAATTATATTAAACCATACGGCCAACATTTAATAGATAATAACATTAACAACAGCTAGTATGGGTCACTTTGGACGTATATGTAGTAGTTCTTACTCTGACGAAGCAATCGTGGAAGTGCATTTGAAGCAAGTCGGCAGTGATGGCTCTGTCTCGCTTGAATCGCCTCTGCACTGCTCGACGGACGATGGTCTCTGCGGATGGGCAGCTTCTGCCATAGAATCCAACCTTCAGGTCGGCAAAAGCGTAGGGAAGAAGCACAAAAAAGAAGATAAGGATGATATCGGAGATCTTCATTTTTTTTTGGGCTCACTGAATGTTTGTGCGTGTTCGGGAAGGGGAAAGGGAAGCTATATATATAGAACAGGAGATCTCGGGTCTCTCGCACTCTCACTGTACATAGTGAGGACTGAGGAGTGACTAGCTAGCTAGTCAACATAATTCTGCAATAATAATTTAATTGAAGCTTTATATAAAAGGAACATGCGGGCATGGTCTTGGGAAATTAACTGACCAATGACCGATCTAGCTGGTGCGCCTTGCAATTCGAGCTGGCCATTCATGAACATTATTATTTTTCAATTCAATACATTATATATGTATCTATCTGCTCCCCATGTGTAGAAATTGATATTTTCTTTTTAAAAATATGTGTGTATTTATACGTAAATCAGCTGTAAAGTTTAATCTTTAGAGAAGTGTCCATATGCTCAAGTTTAAACCGTACGATTCAAGAATTTCTGCAGGGGTAGCAGCAAAAGCTGGAACATATTTTTGCAGCTACAGCCCCAGAAAATTGTATCATTTTTGCGGCATATATGAGAATAATGTTCTCGAGCGCGTTAATTGTCCGGTATGCTGTATATATGGAGCACCAATGCTTGTGAGAATCCATCCAGTCATTGACCAATGAAATTCCAAAACTCAAGATTGAAAGTGCACAGAGCTTTTCTTCTGTTTGAGTGGAAACTCCATGTAATGCAAACCCGAGTTTAAAAATACGAAATCAGAAACAATTTCGGGGAAGGTGTACCAATTTTTAATGCTGCATTTAGGTGGGATTAAAAAAAAAAAAAAAAGACAAGTTGGGGGATCATGACAAAACTGAGTGGAGGGCAATTCACGATTTCACGTGGACGCCGGTAGGTGGGATCGAATGCGTACAATAATAATGTTTTAGATTATAATCCTTTTAATGTTACGATTCGGGAATAAGAAAAAAAGGTGTTGAGAGCATTGTTTTTAAAAACAGGACCGACTGGTGAACCGGCGACCCAGCCATGTGTCCGATCCGGTTTTTTTTTATTGTGATTTAAGTTAACGGGTTAACCCGGGTAACCCAGGTGACCTGGGATTAACCCGCCCAACCCCTCGGTTTAGGCGGGTTGAAATTTAAAAAAAAAAAACTTAATAATGATTAACCAAGATGTATATTTTTTTTTTGACATGATAATAATTAATGATGGTCAATAGGAGTCATAGGGTAAAAAAAATCATACTTATGTCGGATGAGGGGACGGAAGAAGCAAAAGAAATCAAAAAGTATGAACATATATTATATTATATTATTTTTAATTTGAATTATTTAATTAAATAATTTTAAAATATATCACTTTCATTTATTATCTTTTATTTTAAAATAAATTTTTATTTCTATTATTTTAACTCATTGAAATTTTTTTATCATTTAGTTAACCTTATTTTAAAAAAATATAGAAATGTTGTTATATTTTATTATTGTTAGAATTATTGTTATATGTTATATGAGATATTAAGACTTGGATATGTATGAATGTATTGAGAATTAATACATTTTTTATTTAAATTATATTATTTTATTATGACCGGTCTGACTCCGTTTGACCCCTGATTGAACCATGACCCCTGACCCCTGAATTTGATCGGTTTAATGACTGGTCGATTTTCAGTACCTTGGTTGAGAGTGCTGCAGATAAGATATATGGTTAATTAAGATTTTAACTTTTTAATATAATAATATAATAAAAAAAAAGCGCTGGGAGTGCAACTGCACGTGAAGAATATGCACATAATTATTAATTGAGGGCAGTGCATTCTCAGCGGGTTAAGAAGAGCGTGCGGACTGAGAGACTGTGCAGCGGAGTAAAACTTTTATTATTTAGAAAAGTATCAGATTTCTAATTCAAGTCACCTGACTTTGATTTCTAATTGACGGCAGTAAAACTTTGATGGCAAGTCACCTGACAAAGATGTGAACATTATCAATATAAAGTGGATTTTGATTTCTAGTTAAATAAGTTCAAACCGAGTTCAGTGAATAGACTTAATATAAAATTCATCAATCATGCCGCTCATTTCTCAGGTGCTATTTATATATAATGTTAGCCATTGAGGGACCCAGAAAAATTTAGGGGCAATATTTACATAAAATAAAAATATTAATAATCTACAAAATATAATTTTAGACATTAATTAAAGTACTATATACATAAATTATATAAGAAGTTTTAAAATATATCTTAATTTTATTTATATCATAAATTTATTTTTATAATAAATAAAAGAGTAAATAATATTTTTAGATATATATGCTTGATAATTTTAAAGAGAATGTGGGGCAATTAATTTTTTATGGGGTCAATTGCCCCCTCTTTCTCTAACATATTTAGGTACATCTCTAATGTTAGCTACATAAAAACAAGGGAAAAAGAAAATAAATTTTTCTTAATTATATAAATATTAATTTAATCTCTTGAAGTACTATAATTTCATTGAAATTCCTTAGAACTTCTGTATCACTAAATTTTAAATTAAAAAGACCATTTTATCATTAGTAATAAGTTATATTTTTTATTCAATTCGTACAATTCTTTAAATAAAAGTTGTTATTCCTTAAATAAAAGTTGTGATTAGAGTTTGTTATTTTAAGAACTTATTTTTCAATAACAAAAATCACACTTGATAAATTATAATTTTTTGTGATTTATAAAATAAAAATTATTATTTCTCAAGTAAAAGTTGTAATCAAGGCTTGTTTTTAATAACAGAAATTACACTTGATAAGTTATAATTTCTTATTTGACTCTTGTGATTCACAGAATAAAAGTTATTATTATTTAAGTAAGAGTTATGATTAGATTTGTTATTTTCAATAAGAGTATAATAATCTTTTCAATTTAGAATTTATTGACATAGAAGCCCTTAAGGATTTCAATAAAATTATGATATTTCGAGGGATAATATTATCATTTATATAATTCAAGAAATTTTATTATCATTTTCTCTAAAGAAAAATTAACTTTATTCACTTATATCATGAATTAACATGTACATTAATTTAGTTACGTGTTTTTTAATGATTCAGTTTGACTTTAACTTTGCGAATCAATTTTATGCTATATGCCTTCCATGGACAATGTGAGTATCATTAAATTGTTTATTAAGAATTAATTTTGTCCTTAACATTATGAAGAACGGATGCATCCTTGATCTTTTTAAATATTTAAACTTCACTAGCTGAAAAAGTTCATTATTGCGTATATATGAACAAAGTAACTTAATTTGAGCTGAATAAAAAGATCCATTGCAGTAACAAATTACTGATTGCTCCATTTCAAAATGTAGGTCTCTCAGAGCATCTGTCCAATGATTAATAAATGCAATTAATGCATAAACATGTTGATTTTATTGAAAAATGTACTCATGCCCATAGTTTAATAAATGTTATTTTGAAGATGTTGGAAAAATAAGGGTATGGCGAGAAAAATATTAATAGATGTTATTTTTAGCTTTTAACAAGACTTTAAAAAAAAAAAATTCCTGCATAAAGGCCTATTTTAAAACACTACCCTATATTCAGTTTAATTTAATTAAGATTTAGAACCCCCGTTGTTGAGTGTGTTCCCGAGGATCTTAGTAAATTAATTAAGTTTTACTTAATGCATGGAGGGACTTATGTTTCTTTTTTTTGAAAAAACAATAACCTATTCAATTCAATTTAATTGAGATTTGATCCTGAACCCCGTTATTGAATTTGTTCCCGAGGTTCTTTATAAATCAATTAACCTAAAAGTGGTATCACGCTAGCTACTTAAACAAGCACGTGCATATGCATCGTTTTGTGTTACGCAATACGCAGCTTGGCATTTCATAATGTAGGGCACTGTAAACCAGGAAAATTTGTTGACAGCTAAAAAAAAACAGGGAAAACTTTTCAGAGATTTTTTTTAAAAAATATATAATCGAAGCAGTCAAGCAGGGATTCCTACGACATTTTTAAGGAATATGGACATGGGCTTGGAGACGTACGAAGAAGGGCTCTGTTTCTCTCTAAGGTTTTTTCTTGTTCTTGCTTTTGCTTGTGTCTTTGTCTTCTTTTTCGGTCATTCTTGCCGTTCTTAGTGGTTTTCCTTTTTGGTTTTTCTCATGCTGGTCTCTTATTCTTTCTAGGTGTTTTTTAAAAATGTTTCTTCCCCATCTTGCGTCTTCACATATTCTTTTTTGTCGACATCATTTTTTATTTTTGAAGTTTTGGGCGGAAAATGTTTAATGCTTCAAAAATTCAATCTCTTCTTCTCGTTCATTGGTGTCTTCATGGTTCTTTTCGTTTTGTTTAGCATATTGGTGCTTATTTTTTGTTCGGAGTTGAACAACAAATACTAGGCGTGTCAACACACTGGGTCTCAATAAATAACGAAAGGGTCCCGAGTTTCCTTACCACAGTTCGCTCGAATGTAAAAAGATGGTAGGTTTTGGTAGAATAAGTATGTAATTATATTAAAGTGTTTGAAAATTATAGACTAAAAAACTAAGAACTAAAAAGGGCTAATAAATGTAAATCGTGTGAGTCTTGATCGAGTATTGACTGGGTTTCTTTGTTTTTCTTCCTTTTATTTATAGTGTCTGATGGCAGAAGCCTTTTCTTTGAGACTTAGCACATTCTATTAAAGATTTAGGAATCCCGTAAAACTTATGGCACGGTCTCTCCATTTTGATCAACAACTTGTTTCACCGAACTACTTGGGCGTAGATTTTGGTATCACTTAGGATCATGTTTTCGTGCCAACGATCTGATATTTGAAGCTGACGAGATTTTAGCATGTTTATGTGTTGTGGATTTTATTGAGCTTCGGAGCTGACCTCTTTTGTTTATATTGGGCTTGATGTTTCGATTACTTAGCCCAACTAGCCTTGTGACCTATTTAAGCGACGTTTCATATTTAGCCCAAACAATGCCCCCCGCGTGCCAATGGCTGGTAATATAAGCCACGTGGCACGTTTGAAAAAATTGAAACGTCACTTCATTTCTGAGTGCCCTCTGCCGATATAAACTTGTTTTCAGATTATGATCACTTCTT